AGCCTTCGACCTGTATGTCTGATCCACAAGCAATGGAGCATCGTGAGGAGATGCAGTTCCATGGTAGCCGGTGACCAACGATTGGTTCATACGCCATTTGTTCCTTCAGGATACTGGAGCCCATGTGCACCATTGATTTGAGATCCGGTTATAGCGCCGGACATTCGCTTTTCGTCCTCTCATTTTTGTAAACAACACCCCTGTCACGAGAAGGCAGTGAGTAGGACTTCCCTGGCAGGGGCTATATACACATGGCCATGTGAGAGCATTTCGAGAGGGAGAGCGGACTCTCCCCACTCTCAGCCGTACCAGGGCATTGAATGAATTCGATTATGAAAACTGTCAGTTCCCAAATATCTGTATGCTATGATTTCTAATTATCTTAAAATGTAGAACTCTATGGTAATGATGTTGATCGGATATAAATGTATGTAGAGATTAGCGTTTTTTTTTGTGGATATTGTTTATTCTTTTGTTTATAAATGCCAATACTTTCTGAACCCTCGCACCCCACCCCACCCTCGATACTGACTTATCATAGTTATTGATGCATACTAGTGGAACAAAATATCTATCCGTTACTATCTATGTTATAATAATCGTCGAGGTGAATTTATCTAGGGGATATAAAAATGTTCATTTATCATGATTGATTCATTGGAATTTGGTTTAGTTTTATACACAATGTTAAAATTCAATATAATGTTTTACCAAATTCAATATGTACTACTGATGTCGATAGATATATAAGTAGTGTATGTATCATCAATCGAAAGTGAAATGCCTGACATTAGAAGATTAAGAAGATTAAAGAAAGGAGAATGAGAAGAAATGATGATTATTATGGAAATGAAAAATTAACAATCAAATTTGAGATGATTGATTGATATTTTGCAAATGATGTATTGTATTGTATAGTTCTTACATTTGATTAACCCCACTTGTGTTATCATTCACTACAATACTACTTACTATATATAATAATTTTAATAGTTTATTCTATTCTGGTAAAACTATTACATATCACTTGGTGTATAATCCCATTGTTATTTAGGACTGTAATTGTGATCAGTCTCTTATTGGCCTATATATATATACATCCTGTACCCTGGTACGACCGAGAGTGCGGTAAGTCCACACACTCTCTCCAAATGCTCTCACCTGGCCACACGTATGTAACCTCTGCCAGGGAAGTCCTACTCACGTGGTGGAGGTGTTGTCTGCGAAAATGAGAGGACGAAAATCGAATGTCCGGCACTTTAACCGGATTCTAAACCAATGGTGGACATGACCTGGCTCCAGTATCCTGAAGGAACAAATCGTTGTTCAGTGACTACCATAGGAATTCATCTCCTTACGATGCCCCACTGCTTTGTGGGTTAGACCTTTAAGTCGAAGGTTCTGGGGTGTGGCCGCCTAAGAAAATCACCTGCTTCTGTTAAGGCACCTAGGCAGTATCATAGCCCTCACACATATCAAATGAGATCTATGTGGCGCATATGTATTTGATGCCTCCTTGTATCAATATTTATGTGTTAAAATAAATAAATAAATAAGTCTCTTATTGGCCTATATATGTGCATCCTATACGGATGGCCTCAATATAGCCTTAAGTCATAAGATTTTTAAACACAGATCCACTGTTAGCCACTATTTATCTTCAATGACATATTATTATTGTTTTTAGGTGTCTCCACACTATATATTTCTTTCTCTTCCTTAAATGTATATCTGTATTTGTAATATACTACTACTACTACTTTCATAAGTAGTATGTATATGTATATGGACTACCGCTGTTGTAATGATTATCCGATTAGGAAAAGTAAAAAGCAAGTTACTTTAGCAAAATATCTATATAAATATGCAGTATATATATATATATATATATATATATATATATATATATATATATATATATATATATATATATATATATGTATATATATATAACGATGTGAATGTGTGTGTGGTATGATTAGTTGATCGCTTAGTATGGTTTCCTTGTCACATTATATATGTCTTCATGCATGTTTCTTTCCATGGATAGTTCTGTTAGATATTTGTTATATTTTATATTTATCTTTAAGATATTTACTTATTCAATGGTTAACATTAGTTAGTTTGTTTGAATAGTCATTGTTATTTCATGTTATAAATGAATTTTTTTGTATATAAACCTCTGTATTCTTTTATGTTTAAACTTTGTAACTGTCATTGCTTTTTTTTTATTGTTATCCATCTATGAATTAAAGGATGAGTATAGTGTGTGGTAGTTGATTTCCTGTTCTACTTTACGGCTGCAAAACATGGCCATTAAAAGTAGAGGTTACTTGTAAGTTACTAGTATTTGATCACAGATACCTTAGAAATATTGCTTGCATCTACTGAGATCACTAGGTGTATGGTAGTCAGGTTAGATGCAGAATATTAGGGAATGATGGTAAATCAGTCAATGAGGTTGTGAATCTTCATTGATTGAGATGGTTAGGCCATGTGTTACGTATTCCTGAACACCAATTACCACGACGCGCAATGCTGAATAGTGTTGGGAATGGTTGGAAGAAAGTTAGGTGTGGCCAAACCAAAACGTGGCATCAGTGTTTGAAGTCACTAACATCTAGTGTGAGCCATGTTGGTAGATACAAACTACTTGGTTGTGGTCCGTGTGACTATCGTAACCAATGGTCGGAAACTGTGTGTGATATGGCTTATAATTGGTCACAATTGTGTAAGTGTATGCACTCTCTGTCTTCCCTAAAATCTTTCCTAATTCTTTGTTTCTGTACTATATGCTTATACATTAATCTTTCTTTTATATATTACTAACATTGAAGTGACTACTTCTATGAATTTGGTATTCATCTTGTTATGCTAATGAGGTGTGGCAACTTGAATCTATGCATATATGTGCAACTGGTCCTATGTTGTAGCTGACTGACTGACTATTCTTCTGACGACTTTGACTGTTTTTATTCATTTCTTTTTGTATTGGAATGGTGTTGTAGTTTAGACTAATTTACATTTATACGAGATCCTACGTTGATTTCATCTAGGACGGATTGTAATATGTCATGATAAGACGAAAGATTGATCGAATGTTTTTTTCCATAACAAAAATAGAAGGCGTTTTTTTTAAAGTTTCCAAACAGACTTTTGAAGATAATGCTGATTGATTAGGGGACTAAAATTTCCATTTATTTACTCAAATCCAGGACCTTCGACCTCGCGCTCAAACTCTTGACCTGTAGACCACTAAGCTGGAATCCAGTGTTTTTTAATGTCTAACTTTAGTCGATTCATGATCTTGTGCCTCGTTAGGTGGATTTGTCATCGTGGGCCTTGGAGTGCAGGACAGTCTGATCAATGTCGCCGTGGTAGCAGAGAAGTTGTAAGCGGGATTTTTCGCGATGCCGCAAACGATTTTACGCGCCATTTTCATGATATCATGCAAATGAAACCAATACTGATCTATATTTTTCGGTGGGCTAGTAACTAGCCTAAGCCTAGCTTGATTTGATATTTAGTTGCAACAGAAGATGCAACCAATTTGTTGACATGCATCCGTTTTGTACGATGAATTAGCGGAAACAAAGACATCATCAGAGTCCATATAGGTGCTCTAAAATTAGATGTAGTCTTGTACGCAACCACGTCAGTGGTACCTGATCGCGATGTGATCAGTCTGAATCCGGGCTTGAGATGCTAAGGGAGGGCGCCAAGTGGCACATCGGTGATGACTACCAGTAGTTAGTGCTATCCAAAAACAGATTGTGGTCTGCACATAATTACAGTAGACGGTCCCCCGTTATCTGACCTGTGACCAACAATTCCCCAAACTACTGGACGCCCGACCTGACCATTTAGGTCTCCGTCTAATATGACAATATCTATCGAACTCATCCTTGATCAAAACTACGAACATGTTCTTCCCTGTCTTGTTTTTCCAAATTATGTACTTTGGTATCAACATTTAAAATGATAATTACATTTAAAGGTAGTTGTGGAATACGATTTGTCAATTTTTTAATGTTTTAATGAGCATTTCGTTTCACAAAAGTTATCTGTCAATATTTATTCATCTCTGCGTTTAATTCTAAGCACTTTACTAGATTTACTTACTTACGCCTGTTACTCCTCGTGAAGGAGCGTAGGCCGATCAACAACACTGTCCATCCAACCCTGTCCTGGGCAATCCTTTCCAACTCTCACCAGTTAATATTCATCCTTTTCATATCCGCTTCTATTTCCCGACGTAAAGTATTCTTTGACCTTCCTCTTTTCCACTTCCCTTCAGGATTCCAAGTTAGGGCTTGTGTCGTGATGCAGTTTGATGATTTCCTCAATGTATGTCCTATCCATTTACATCGTGTTTTCCTAATTTCCTATTCATCTGGAAGCTAGTTTGTTCTCTCCTACAGAATTGTGTGGCTGATGGTATTCGACCAATGGATGTTGAGTATGTTGCGTAGACAGCTATTGATAAATACTTGTACCTTCTTCATGATGGTGGTAGTAGTTCTCCAAGTTTCAGTTCCGTACAGTAAAACTGCCTTGACGTTTGTAGTAAAGATTCTGACTTTGATATTGCTTGAAAGTTGTTTTGAGTTCCATATGTTCTTCAATTGAATGTATGTAGTCCTTGCTTTGCTAGTCGTCGCCTTTAACTTTACCAGAAGATTGCTATAAACAATTACCTGATAGATTTATTTAGTTCTGAATAAATTCAATATTATGAATTGTCTTACGGAATGTTTAATTAATTGAATTTAAGAAATATAAATCAATGAATCCCAACTTTATCGGTCTGAAGATTAAACTGTCATCAAAGACCTGAATGTCATGAATATGATCTTTAGTGAGGTCATAGTTGTGCATTGTGGAAATGAAATAGCTATTTGATGCTTTATAGTTCTTAACCATTGTCTAAGATCAATTCTTAATGTAAATGTTTTATTGAATATTGATTCATATAGATTTTATATATCTTTGAATTTTAGAGCGTTTTTTAAAAGATATGAAAATTCTTTAAAGTCTACTGTTCCATCATCATCATCATCATTATCATTATCAACTGATATTGTTGGCACATTTACATCTGATTATTCATGTAATGAAAATGATAATGAAAATACAAGAAAAAAATTAGCTTCATTACGTTTAATTGAAACGGGTACACAAGAGAATAGTTTAGTTGTTCCAGTAATAAGAACTAAAGAAATGTGGTGTTGTAAGTAAGAATAATGCTATTCTTATTATTATGTTACATGTTTGTCAATTGATTAATGAAATTTTTTTCATATCTCCTTAGTTGTCTTTTATTTTTTCTTGATGATAAAGTCTTATTCCAAGTAAAGACCGGAGTCAGACAGGGTAGTCTGCTCTCTCCCTTACTCTTTCTTCTGGTGGTCGATTGGATTATGAAAACCTCGATATGTGAGGGTAAACAGGGAATACAATGAACAACTCAGAATCAATTAGATGATTTGGACTTTGCAGATGATCTAGCCCTCCTATCACATACACACGAACAATTTCAGATGTAGACAACTAGTGTAGCAGCAGCCTCTGTATCAGTAGGCCTCAACATACACAAGAGAAAACCAAGGTCTTTAAATACAACACGGAAAACAGCAATCCAATCACTCTTGATGGCGAAACTTTGGAAGATGTAGAATCCTTCACATACCTTGAAATCATCATCGATGGACGTGGAGGATCAGATGCAGAGGTAAAGGCGAGGATTGGCAAATCAAGGATAGCATTCTTAAAATTGAACAACAAATGGAACTCAAAACAACTTTCAAGCAATATCAAAGTCAGAATCTTTACTACAAACGTCAAGGCAGTTTTACTGTACGGAACTGAAACTTGGAGAACTACTACCACCATCATGAAGAAGGTACAAGTATTTATCAATAGCTGTCTACACAACATACTCAACATCCATTGGTCGGATACCATCAGCCACACAATTCTGTAGGAGAGAACAAACAAGCTTCCAACGAAAGAGGAAAATGGGGAAAGACGATGTAAATGGATAGGACATACATTGAAGAAATCATCAAACTGCATCACGAGGCAAGCTCTTACTTGAAATCCTGAAGGGAAGTGGAAAAGAGGAAGGCCAAAGAATACTTTACGTCGGGAAATAGAAGCGGATATGAAAAGGATGAATATTAACTGGTGAGAGTTGGAAAGGATTGCCCAGGACAGGGTTGGATGGAGAGTGTTGTTGATCGGCCTACGCTCCTTTTTGAGGAGTAACAGGCGTAAGTAAGTAAATATGTGTAACATAATAAATGTCAAAAAGGATAATTGAAAGACGACGATTTATCTTACTGTAGAACTAAATTAACTACTATCACTAGCAAATTATCATGAAACACTAAATGTACAAATGATATAACTCACCTTTTTCATTCTCTTCTTCGTATTCATAACTGAACTTTCAAGTCTGAATCACTTGGTTTAAAATTTTAATCCCTTCAACAAAAGTTCATTCGTAACCGGAATAATTTACTTTCGGTGTTGATTGTAACATTAAATGATATAAGTTGTAATCCTACAAGAAACACTTGTTTCTTCAAGGTCACTGATATGTCTTACTGATGAGAGCCAATTAATATCTAACTCGAAGACTCAGGGTTCTTGTCGTTATTATCAATATTGTTAGTGAAATTATAGTCTTTCCATGGTGAATAGCCCCACTTCTTAATAAACTTTCTCCTTGATGTTGAATTCTTTATATTGTGAATAGTTTATAATTGTGGAAATTTCGAATCAACCTAAAAAGCAGACTCTGGTAATGTTTTTTGGGATACCACAATAAATACTTCAGAATTAATCTATCTATCTTGATGAATACAACATCACTAAAGAAATATCCGTTATTGCAAACAAGCCTCTGTTGGCTGATATTATGAACTATTGCCAATTCCAAATTCACTTGATGTTGTTTACTTCTATCTTCCCATTGTTATTTATAAGTGGAATTGATCAGTCACCTATTGACATATGTGCATATTGTACGCATTGCCTTAATTTTACAAGCTTTATGAGGAACGATTGATATTGGCTAACAGTGAAATCTAAGACGTGCGTATCGTCCTATTTGGAATTTATCAGCTGGATGTACCTGCATCTCAGACTTGTTGATATTCACTCTGGAACTCGAACTTAGTACCTTTCGCTTCAAACGCTATTTTGTTATCCACTTAACTACTGAATCTTGATAGCCACTTATTTGTGAAATAGGGTGAAATTTGAAATTCACTTGATGTTGTTTACTTTATAACTTATCATTATTGATTTCAATAAATGATCTTAATTACTTTGACTTTATATTTATTTGTTTTTTTGTCTTTCTACAAAAAGCGAATCAATCAGGTCTTGGAACTATACGTTCTTCAGAAACTATTATTTCTAATAAATGTAATTATCAAATTAAAAAAGATAAATTATCTGAAGAAAATTCTATATTCATACGTGATCTTCAACCGATTACATCAGATTTTATACGACCTATTGGAATACCTTCATCATGGCAAAAAGAAAATCAATTAGAACCTAGTACATGGAATAAAGCACAGGTTAATTTCTTTATTCTAATTTACATATTTATAATTATAATCTTCGCCCCCAAATGCCCTGGTACGGCCGAGAGTAGGGAGAGTCCGCTCTCCCTCTCGAAATGCTCTCACATGGCCATATGTATATAGCCTCTGCCAGGGAAGTCTTACTCAATGCCTTCTCGTGGTAGGGGTGTTGTTTACGAAAATGAGAGGACGAAAATCGAATGTCCGGCACTTTAACCGGATCCCAAATCAATGGTGCACATAGACTGTATACTGATATATGAACTAATCATTGGTCACCAGCTACCATGGGACTACATCTCCTTACGATGCTCTACTGCCTTGTGGGTTAAACCTTTAGGTGAAAGGCTCGGGGTGTGGCCTTCAAATAAAACCACCTGTTTCGGTTTGAGCACCCCGGGGCAGTATTACAGCCCTCACACATATATCAAATGAGATCTGTGTTTTGCATATAGTGCCTCCTTGGATCAATATCTATGTGTTAAAATAAATAAATCCAGTAATATACTTTCATTTTTTTTAAAAATTGATCAAATTCTTTCGCCCATTATTTCACCTTTGTTGATTCTCCTTTATTGATTCTCCTTACAATTATGATAGAGTTGTCAGGTTTACAGTTTTATTTCTCTATTCATATATATATATATATATATATATATATATATATATATTAATGAATATGTATTCAATATGCATTATTGGTCTGTCTTTTCATTAATCATGGAAGGTGTTCTATTCTTCAATACCCATATGCTGTTATGTTTAAGGTCATTGTTTTAGGTAATGTATGTTTGTGCTATTGTGTTATTAAAAAGAAAACAAATTTCATAGTTTGTATTTCATATATTCTTATTATTCTTATTTTTATTGTTTTATGAATGAATCCTTTTTCTTTTCTTCTCATCAATGACATACCCTATCAACAATGAAAGTTTTGAATCCTCAACAAATAAACAAACATTATGACAGTGTTTCCATTTTTGGTTTTTTCTTTCGATAATTCATTTAAGCTACTTATTAGTAGTATTGTTAATATTCGATAAATATTTGTCATAAGTATATATATGATATGAATGATTATTTGGTAAATGTATAGTTAAGAGGAAATGGGAAATGTATTTATTTGATCAATATATTGATATCAATGTACAGATGATATAGTCGTGATAAAACACAGAATCTTTTGCTAGCACTGAACAACTATACCAAATTGTTTGGAATGCTCTTCTCTCATTGTAATTACGAGTTGTTGTTCCAGGACTGGTCTGCATCAACATCTGAACTATAAGGATAGGGAGTGAAATAGTCGAACGAGTTGATAATTTCATTTATCTTGAAAGTCTGATCAGTCCTAATGGGTTGGTTTCTGACGAAATCTCAGTACAGATTCGAAAAGCTCGTTTGACTTTTGCAAACTTTCATCACCTATGGCGAATGCGAGATATCCGTCTATCACAATTAAAGGACGAATTTACTGCTCTACACTTCGTTCCGTTCTAGATTACGGCTGTGAAACGTGGTCATTAAGAGTAGAAGATACTCGTAAGCTTCGAGTATTTGACTACAGATGTCTCAAAAATATTCCCGGCATCTGCTGGGATCATCAGGTGAGTAATAGTGAGGTTGGATGGGAGGGTATTAGAGAATGATGTTAACTCAGTTGATGACGTTGTGAATCTTCATTGACTGAAATGGTTGGGCCACATGTTGCGTATATCTGAACACCGAATACCACGACGCGCAATGCTGACTAGTGTTGGGTATGGTTGGATGAAAGTTAGGGTTGGCCAAACCAAAACGTGGCATCAGTGTTTAAAGTCACTTACTTCTATTCTGAGTCATGTTGGTGGTAGATGCAGACTACTTGTTCGGGGTCTGTGTGATTATCGTAACCAATGGTTAGAGACTCTGGGTGATATGGTTCCGAATCGACCACAATAGCGTAGGTGTATACATTTTCTGTCTTCGCTTAAATTATGAGATTAAAATCGCTTCATATCTTTCATTTTATGAACTAATTCTTGCTTTTTGTGCTATGTCCTTATATAAAATCTTTCTTTCATATATTAATGCCATTGAATTAAGTTATTCTATGAATTTGATGTTCATTTTGTTGTGCTAATGAAATGTGGCAAGTTGGACCGATGCACATACTTGCCTGGTCCTACATTATTGCTGACTGATGGACTGACTATCATTATGCCTCAAAGCTATACTATATACTATTCTGAACTGTTAACCATATATATATATATATGGGTCAACATGTGATCAAATAATCACGATATATGTCTCTTATCTGCTATCATAAACGTAGATCAATAAATAGTACATTCTTGGCCAGTGTAATTGGTTTTTTTTTTGTTTTTCACAGATAGATAAATGTTTTTTTTTTCTACTCTTGACAAATGGTTTTTCGAAAAACAAACCGGTTAAATATTTGATTATAACTACCTTTAAAGTATTACTTTTCTCATGATGACATCATCTATTAAGTAGTATGTACAGTTTGTAAAGCTGTTAAGTTTTATATATTTAGACAGTTAATGGTAAATAAAATACTCCTTACAGATCCATAGATAGACAAGGGCAATTCATTTAATCACAGTTGTAGGTATTCAAATTGGATATCAAAATAACCTAGATAAGTATTTGTTCATAAAGTAATTAAGTTATTTACTGTTATAACTTGTGGTCTGTGTGCCTTGTTAATGTATAATGTGATGATACCACCAATTAGAGAACAGTGAATTATTGATCGGACCAATGATGCGTAAAACCCGTTCGAGCAATCTAGAGTACTTATCGGTCATGCTTCCTGTCTAGCCTAACCAGTTAAGTCCAGAACATCAATCCGAGCCTCAGTGATATGAATCATGTATTTCAAACATACTGGGTTAATATTACACCAACCAAACTGATCACATCGTACCATAAAAATAGAAAATATACATTTGTACAAGATATAGCCAAATATGGCTGTGAATGTGAGAGGCACTGACTGATGGATAGCGCTTAATTGAAGAATGGTAAAACGTATAATAATAGTTCATAGATCAACATAAAGCTGATAATAAGAGGAATATGAACATGAGTAGTTTAGTTATTTAACAATGATACGATAAAAATATACGTTTAGTATTAGTCCACAAATGGATCGCAACAGTTACCATTCATTATTTTTATCGGGATATAACATTTACACAATATCACAACATCACTTTATTCTACAATGTGGATTATTAATGTCAATAGTTTTGTAATCTAATCGTCAAAACTGTAAATAAACAACTGTAGTGATATTTTGTCGTGGAACGATAACCTACTGATTAAGATTTTTGAGTTCTCTAATCCATCCCCCTACCTCCCTTACACACATTACACATGTATCGGTTCTTTGGGGAGGTAAATAATATGATGAACCATCAAACGAGAAACTGTAATTCATAGCTGATATACAAAAATATGCTTCATAAATATCGTATTTAACTTTTCTATTCATGACCTAAGAAGAAATTAACTAAGTTTGAATGTTATTGTTATGCATTTGGGAATATTGGGAAAGATTAGTTTCACTTTGAAACTTTTATTGTCATTTTTAATAACATCATCAATACAAAATTCATTCAGAAGTTGATGTTGGGGACCTTTCGATCCCTAGAACTCACTTGGAAATGGTTCTTATGATGTAATTTTATTTAGAAAGTTTGAATTTCTTTGTTTTCGCGCCAAAAGCGATATTTTTTTTTTTACCTTGATGTCCTATTTACCACTTCGGAGAGTCTTAAATGCTATTTATCTGTTGTGTCTTTTAGTATGCTGTTTTGTAGCACTTCCCAAGGATGGTTTTGTGTTGGATATATACGTTTTGATTTGTGTATGTTGTTATCGCTCATGCTTCTGACTTTTTACGGAATATACATCCCCATTCCAAGCTTCGACTTGTTCCTCTAGTTAGGGGGGTGATGGGACGCAGTAGAATAGCTAGTTTATTGATCTTTGGTCACAAGTTTTTGTTTCCGTTCTCAGACTAAGTGAACTCGTAATCGCTTCAAATCTAACAGAAGTAAACTGCTAAGTTTGTGAAGGTATCACGAGTTCACTTAATCTGCGAACGAGAACAAGACTCAGTGACCAAAGACCAGTAAGCTAGCTATTGATGTGTCCCAGCCCCGCTATCTAGAGGGAGAAGTTCAAGCTTAGAGTGGGAAGTATACTCTACAAACAACCAGAAAATGAGCGATTCAACAAAAACAATTTAAAACATATATATACAAATATATATATATATATATCCATTTGGGTTTCCTGTGTAGTTACACTTTGTTTTTATTTTATCTCTCATCATTTTTGGTTCTTAGTTAAGTACAACTACAACAGCCCCTGTATCATCCAGACCGATAGGTTTACCTGATTGGGAAATTTTCACAGAAGATCAAGTTGAACAACAACAACCACAACAGGCGGACTCTTCAAATTCATTAAATAATACACAACAGTCAACTATTTGGTAAGTAAATTAATTTCTCTTTTGTTAATTTAAAATAACATCATAAATAAATTTCAATAGTTGAAATCATGAATCCACTGAAGCTAGACCATCATAGGAAACCTGGGAGCACTGGACGGCCGTTTTGTCCTAGTATGGGACTCCTCAGTGACAGTGCGCATTCACGATCCCTCCCCCCCCGTGGGATTTGAACCCAGGACCTATTAGTCTCGCGTGCGAGTACTTAACCTCTAAATCACTGAAACGGCATCTAACAATGTTAATATTTTACTCCAACCAATCCACGAAATTTTGCCACCATCTTGCATTGTGATCGTGACTAGTGGAGCTAATCCGTGTCGGTTATGAAGTAGTTAACCACCGAAGATAATGGAGGATGGTCACATAATTTCATGGATTAGTTAAAGTAAGACATTAAAACTGTTGGATGCCGGCTCAGTGGTCAAGCGTTCACGTGTGAGACTGAAGGTCCTCAGTTCCATACTAGGACAAAATGTTCATCCAATGCTTCCAAGTTTTCAATGGTGGTGTAATTTATGTTAGTTTATGATTTCAATGAAATATATGATTATTTTACAAAGCATAAAGTTTTATACACTTCTCTTTCTCAACTTACGATTAATTGTTTTATAGTTCATATTAATATATTCGTTAAAATAGTGTGTTCCATTTTCTGTTTATTTATCAAATCACAAAATCTAATTACCATGGAAACTGTTAGATGGAAGTAAACAGAAGCACAATAGGAAAAATGTTATTATGTTTATAGTTTTTACATGAGGAGATTCTAGAGTGTCTTCCAAGTATCGACTAGCTCTGATTGGATAAGAATTAGCATCAGCGCAATCGAGCATTCTTTAATCCAATCTATGTCCCACTAAACACTTCCCGTTTAAACAGATTCGTAGGATCTTGTGCGTCGAGGACTTTCACGCTTCTTGGTTAGTGACGTTCTTTATGTCCATGTTTGTTGTATACCTGACATTTATGCTTCTTAAATGGACAGAATCGTACATATGAGAAAATTGGATAAGAATTAGCCAATCAACGTGCACTAACGCAATCGTACATTGAACATGCTTTAATCTAATCTATGTCCCTCTAACAAACACACATTACAATAGTTGGAATATGATGTTAGGCCATCTTGGCAAACCTGAAAGCACTGGATGGTCGTTTCGTCCTAGTATGGGACTTCTGAGTGGCAGTGCGCATCCACGACTACGCCTCTCGCGAGATCCGAACCGACAACCTATCAGTCTTGCGCCAGGCGCTCTACCAACTAGACCATTGAGCCGACATCCGAAGGTGTTAATGTCTAACTTCAACCAATCCACAATGTTGCTCCGCCATCACCATTGTCTTCAATCAGCTGATTGGTTGAAGTTAGACATTAACACCGTTGGATACCGATCAGCTCAGTGGTCTAGAGGTTAAGTGTTCGCATGCGAGACCAATAGATCCTGGGTTCGAATTTCCCAGGTTGGAATCATAAATGTACACTGCTGAGATGACCCACAAGAAGACAAACTGGCCGTCCAGTGCTTCCAGGTTTTCCATGGTGGTGATCTAGCTTGTTCAATTGACTCATAATTTGAACTATAGAAATGACTAAAATCTCCACAAAAACCAATTCGCCTTCTGAAAATACACATTACATTCAAATGAGATGTATTTCAAGTGAATAGTTTATGTATTATATTAACTATGCAATTAGTAATGATCATGATCTTAGTTTAAGTATTATTCTATCTATTTATCACAGTATTGATGTTACACATTAACACCATTGGATGTCGGCTCAGTGGTCGAGTAGGTTAAGCGTTCGCGTACGAGACCGAAGGTCTTGGGTTCGAATCCCTTGAACGGAATCGTGGATGCGCACTGCCACTGAGGAGTCCCATACTAGAACGAAACGGCCATCCATTGCTTTCAGATTTCCAACCGTGGTCTAACATCAGTCGATTCATGATCTTAATCAAAATCTTCACAACTCCAATAATCACAATATTTTATATTCAATTTGCTTTCATAATACATTCATTTATTCATTCAATCATTGTTTGTATTCCTTTTCAATGTGTATTTATTTCTCATTTCATTGTTTAGTACAAAACGTAAAGGTTTAAAAATGAAATCATCATCATTCAAAGATTATCATACTGATCAACAATTCAATGAAATTTCTTTTATTGATATTACATTATTTAATCATTTATTACATCAATCTAATAATATTGATTTATTATTATTATCCACTAAATTAAATTTACCAAGTTATCCTGGTGATAAATTATCAGATATTGATTGTTTTGCATTTGATATTAAGGTAAGTATGGTTTTGTTTGTTTGTTTTTTTGTTGTTTTTTTTCTTTTTTTTTTGTATCATCATATGTATATTATTATCAGAAGGGGTTTTGTGGAGATTGTAGTGATTTCAATCATTAAGATCATGAGAAGTAGTGACCAGTGGAGTTCAACCAGGTCTGTTGTGGGATAGAAACTCACTGAAGACAATGGTGGATGTGTCGCTCAATTTCGTGGATTAGTTGAAGTTAGACATGAACACCGTTGGATGCCGGCCAGCTCAGTGGTCTAGTGGTTAAGTGCTCGCGCGCGAAACCAGTAGGTCCTGGGTTCGAATCTCGCAGGGGGCGAGGTCGTGGATGCGCACTGCCAATGAGGAGTCCCACAATAGGACGAAACGGCCGTCCAATGCTTCCAGGTTTTCCATGGTGGTCTAGCTTCAACTGACTCATGATCTTAATGATTGATATGTATATTAATAAAGGTGTTATATAACGTGCTCGATATTTACTTTGTCTAGTAATGATAACAATTAAACAATTATCTATAATTAGATTCTCTTCCAATGTTTATTCTTTGTCTATAGGATTTCAATATAACTCAGTGAATCAAGTACACGTTATTAACCAGATCACAATGTGATTGTATATTCACACTTAAAAACCCGACACAATCTAACAACAATGAATAATCATATATATATAAATAAATAAATGTCAATGTGTCATAATAATAAAGATAAAAGGAATATATAACTTATTTGACATCTATCAAACTAAGCAAACAACTAATCATGATCACATTCTCGTTCATATATCAGATTTATTATTTATTTATTTGAACACATAAATATCGGTACAAGAAGGCACCAAATACATATGAGCCACACATATCTCATTGGATATGTGTGACGGCTGTGATACTGACCAGGTGCCCAAACCGAAGCAGGTGGTTTTCTTAGGGGGCCACACCCCGAGCCTTCGATCTGGATGTCTGACCCACAAGGCAGTAGAACATCGTAAGGAGATGCAAACCCATGGTAGCCGGTGACCAACGATTGGTTCATACGCCATTTGTTCCCTCAGGATACTGAAGCCAGTTTATGTGTACCATTGGTTTAGAATCCGGTTAAAGTGCCGGACATTTGCTTTTCGTCCTCTCATTTTCGTAACCAACACCCCCGCCACAAGAACGCAGTGAGTAGGACTTCCCTGGCAGAGGCTATATACGTGTGGCTATGTGAGAGCATTTCGAGAGGGAGAGCGGTCTCTCCCCACTCTCAGCCGTACCAGGGTATTTGGGGGCCATATATCAGAAGGCTTTACTTACTGTAGAGTGAATAAAGTCTTAATGTTTATATATATATATATATATATATATATATATATATATATATATATATATATATATATATATATATATATATATATATATATATATATATATATATATATGATTAACAGAGTTTAATGTATAATAAGGAGATTCGTTGTTTATTAGTAAGAGGGTTTACATACTGTTTGGAAACTTCAAACCATGTTACAGATAGATGGTTTTCTTTCTTATGGAAAAACCGGTGCTTTCAACGTGGTATGGTCGCCGGCTCAATGTGGAGCCCCCAACTGCCCTGGTATGGCCGAGAGTGAGGAGAGTCCGCTCCCCCTCTCGACACGGCCACGCGTATACAGCCTCTGCCAGGGAAGTCCTACTCACTGCCTTCTCGTGGCGGGGGTGTTGTTTACGAAAATGAGAGGACGAAAAGCGAATGTCCGGCGCTATAACCGGATCCCAATTCAATGGTGCACATGGGCTCCAGTATCTTGCCTGAAGGAACAAATGGCGTATGAACCAATCGTTGGTCACCAGCTACCATGGGACTGCATCTCCTCACGATGCTCCACTGCCTTGTGGATCAGATCTTCAGGTCAAAGGCTCGGGGTGTGGCCCCCTAAGAAAACCATCTGCTTCAGTTTGGGCACCTGAGCAGTATCACCGCCCTCACACATATCAAATGAGATCTGTGTAGCGCATATGTATTTGGTGCCTTCTTGTACCAATACCTATGTGTTAAAATAAATAAATAAATTCTTATGGGAGTCATTTCATTGGAGACTTAAACTTCAAAGATACAATGCTAGGAACGTTAGAAAACGATTTAAGTTTGTGTTTTTATTTAGAAAATTTGAATTTGTTTTTATTTTCCCATCAAAAGCGCTTTTGTCATTTTCATGTGGTATTTCCCATTTGGGAAATATCTTAAATGCTATTGATCCGTTGAGTCTTATAGTATGCTATTTGCTAACTCTCCTCAACGACGGTTTTGTACTGTATACATATATATGTATCGATTTGTGTTCGTTGTTATAACTCATGGTTCTGGTTGTTTGCAGAATATGTTTCCCCATTCTAAGCTTTCAACATCTTCCTCTAGTTAGCGGGATTGAGACGCATCAAATAGCTAGATTATTGGTTTTTGATCATCACTGAATCTTTGTTCTATTCGCAGTCTAAGTGAACTTGTAATAGCTTCAAACTTAGCATAAAACCACATAGTCGCTAGTGACCAAAATGGAATTTTTCGTATTCAATTTCTTCCCAATATATTGTCGTAACAGATAATTTGTGTATTATATCTATAGTGAAATTCAGATTAGTTCTATAATAAACAATCAATTAAAGTGCTAAACATCAATGGAAAGATTCAAGTAAAACAATACTAAGTGAATTTAAAACTTCACCTTATTGCACAAGCAAATGGTTATCAGAACTCAGTAGCTAGGTGGATAACGCGATGGTGTTTGAAGCGAACAGTACTGAGTTGGAGTTCCAGAGTGAACATCAACTCTAAGATGCAGGTACATCCAGCTGATGAGTCCTAAATAGGACGAAACGCTCGTCAAACTGGATCCCTCTACTAGCCACTATCCATCTTTGCTTAGATCGCTTGTGAATTAAGGCAATATCGAGGCAATACACACAAGATGCAGATATACCAATAAGAGATTGATCGACTGCAGTGCTAAACATCAGTGGGAAGATTCAAGTAAATAATATGAAGTGAATAGTTATTAATGTTTGTTACAACAAGATTATATCAGTATAAATGTATCATCATCATCATCATTTCACTGCTGATTAGTATTACACACTACTTACATCTATCAACATAAGTTGTATACACCACACTGATACCCCCAAATGCCCTGGTACGGCCGAGAGTGGGGAGAGTCCGCTCTCCCTCTCGAAATGCTCTCACATGGCCACGCGTACATAGCCCCTGCTAGGGAAGTCCTACTCATTGCCTTCACGTGGCTGGGGTGTTGTTTACGAAAATGAGAGGACGAAAAGCGAATGTCCGTCGCTTTAACCGGATCCCAAACCAATGGTGCACATGGGCTAGCTCCAGTATCCTGAGGGAACAAATGGCATATGAACCAATCGTTGGTCACCGGCTACCATGGGACTGCATCTCCTCACGATGCTCCACTGCCTTGTGGGTCAGACGTTCAGGTCGAAGGCTCGGGGTGTGGCCCCCTAAGAAAACCACCTGCTTCAGTTTGGGCACCCGGACAGTATCACAGCCCTCACACAAATCAATCGAGATTCGTGTGGCGCATATGTATTTCGTACCTCCTTGTATCAATACCTATGTGTTAAAATAAATAAATAAATACTGATACCCCCACCGAGGAAGGTGAATCTGTAGTGAATTCAAACTCCAAATTAAACCATTTTACATGTCACTGATTTATTCTAATTATATTCACAGTACAATTTGGTTTAATCATCTCCTTGTTTAGTATCAGAAATTTAATCCTTACCATGGATATACACATATTGAATAGTAAAAAATTCACTTGATATTTGGTTACTTGAATCGTACCATTGATGTTTAGCATTGCAATCGATTAGTCAGTCTCTTATTGGCATATATGCCATAATGTGTGTATTGCCTCGATATTGCCTTAATTCACAAGCGATCTAAGCAAAGATCGATAGTTGCTACTAGGGGGATCCAGTTTGACGCGCGTCTCGTTCTACTTGTAACTTGTCAGATGAATGTACCACCTGCATTCCAGAGTTGATGTTCACTCTAGGATGTAGGCAAACCTTGGATTTCACTACTAACCACTTCTCAGCACGGATACAGAAGGCTCGACTAGCTTTTGCCAACTTGAGTCATTTGTAGCGTAGGCGAGATATCGGTCTATCAATCGAAGGACAGGTTTACTGCGCAGCAGTTCGTGGCGTCCTGCTTTATGGCAGTGAAACATGGCCAGTAAGAGTAGAGGATATTCATAGCTTACTAGTATTTGATCATAGATGTCTTCGAAATATTGCTCGTATATCCTGGGACCACTGAGTAAGTAACTCAGTTGTTAGGAAACGGGTACTAGGTAAGGATGACAAATCAATAGATGAAGTAATGATTAGTTCAGATGGCTGGGACATGTGTTGCGCATGCCAGACCAACGACTGCCCCGACGTGCGATGTTTTATGGTGTAGGAGTAGGTTGGAAGAAAGCTTGGGGCGGCCATTCCAAAACATGGCACAAATCCATGAAGTCACTGACAAGTGGACTGAACCATGTTGGTAGGTGTAGACTACCTGGTTGCGGACCGCGAGATGATAGCAATCGATGGTTAGAGACGTTGAATGATATAGCTCAACATCGTTTGCAATGGCACAGGTGCATCCACTCTCTGTGTTCTCTCAAACTCTAGTCTTTTGAATGCTTCATGTCCCTTATTTTTTGTCTTTCCAAATTTACTCCACTGGATTATATCTTTGAATAACATCATCAAACCCTAATGTTCCCTATCACTATACTTATACTTTCACTACCTCTACCACTGCGGGATTTGAATCGATAACTGAATCTCTGTATTTATGTGGTATGACAACTCGGACTGATGTACGTACGTACGTACGATGTTCCACGTTGTTACTGACTGACTGACTACTAACCATTATTCATCATTGCTTAGCATTATTGAATAGTAGTAGTTCTATTATGATTCTTACTTAATACAAATTGTTTATTTAATATATCAATGTATTATTCATTTTCTTTTAGCTTATTTATGGTGGAATTGAAGAATTATGTTGGGAAATGCATCGTGGTATAAAATGGGATATAAATTATCATAATTCATCATTGAATAATAATAATAATACTCTAACACAATATGATCATCATCGAAATATGTTGAATGGATTTTGGGATAAAGAAGAATTAGAAGTAATTCAAGAAATTGATTCTATTATACATAATGATGATGATGATGATGATGGAACTATGAATAATCTTCAAATAAATGATCAATTATTGAAGAATAAAAATATTGAATCTAGTAAGTTAATGAGTTATTATCATTGTTTAGTAGTATAGTGTATATTTAGTATGAAATAGGCTTCTAAATATTCTGGTACAGTAGAGAGAGAGAGAGAGAGTGGAGAGAGTTAGCTCTCTCTTTCCAAATACACTCTCACATGGCCACGTGTATATAGCCTCTGCCAGGGAGGTCCTACTCATTGCCTTCACGTGGAGGGGGTGTTGTTTACGAAAATGAGAGGACGAAAAGCGAATTTCCGGCGCTATAACCGGATCCCAAACCAATGGCGCACATGGGCTCCATTATCCTGAAGTTACAAATAGCGTATGAACCAATCGTTGGTCACCGGCTGGCTACCATGAGACTGCATCTCCTTACGATGCTCCACTGCCTTGTGGGTCAGACGTTCAGGTCGAAGGCTCGGGGTGTGGCCCCCTAAGAAAACCACCTGCTTCGGTTTGGGCACCCAGGCAGTATCACAGCCCTCACACAAATCAAATGAGATCTGTGGTGCTCATATGTATTTGGTGCCTCCTTGTACCAATATCTATGTGTTAAAATAAATAAATAAATAATAAAGTATAGAATAGGCTTCCAAATATTCTGGTACGGTAGAGAGTGGAGAGAGTCAGCTCTCCCTTTCCAAATACACTCTCACATGACCACATGCATACATCCACTGCCAACAAAATCCTACTCATTGCGTTCTCGCACCAGGGGTGTTGCTTACGAAATCGAGAGAGAATGAAAAGCGAATATCCGGCGCTTTAACCAAGTTGGTGGTAGATATGGAGAATCCATTCAAAGTAATAGGAAAACCCTAATTCCAAACCAATGGTGTACATGGGCTCCGGTTGTGGCCTCCTAAAAAACAAGTACGAACAGTCTAGAGTCCTTATTGATCCTGCTTCCTATCTAGCCCATGTATTTCAAACATACTGAGGTTATATACAAACCAAACTGACCCTATCTAGCCATAAAATAGGAATCAACACTTGTACAAGATATAGTCAAATGTGGCTGTGAATATAAGAGGCATTGGTTGATAGAAAGGGCATAATACAAGAATGGTAAGTCGTATAATAATACTAATTCATAGATCAAAATAAAGCTCATAATAAGAGGGACATGGATATGAACAGTTTAGTTATTTAACAATTATACAATAAAAATATACACATAGTATTGGTCGATAAATAGATCCTAGAAGTTACCATTCATTATTCTTATCGGGACCTAACAATCCGTAAAATTTTACCATTCTTTATATCAGAAGGGGTTTTGTGGATACTGGCTCAGTGGTCTAATGATTAGGCACTCACGCGCAAGACTAATAAGTCCTGGGTTCGAATCTCGCGAGGGGGAGGCGGGATCGTGGATGTGCACTACCACTGATGAGTTCCATACTAAGACGAAACGGCCGCCCAGTGCTTCCAAGTTTTCCATAGTGATCTAGCTTCAATTGATTCATGATTTCAACTATTCTTAATATAACTACATTCATTTAATGATCCTAATATTTATATTCTTTTATTTTATTGCATACATTATTACAATTTCCAATCATTTATCGATTTTATTATTATTATGATGGTGATGATGATCATTGGTTGATATTGTACTTGTCCTTTTTTATTTCTGTTTAGCTCGTCATGCACTGATCAAATCATTAGAATGTATTGCCTTAAATAAAGAAAGCTAAAATTGTACAATCTATTTATCTATCTATCTATTTATCTATATACGTATAAAGATTCATATAGAGATACAAGTAAAAGCATACTCCTTTACATTTTGTTTTCTTGATTTGATGTTTCATTGATGATGCCATTTAACTTGAGATCTCTATTTTAAACATTTTCTAAATAAGTGATTTGTATGTAGTTCATTTATGACTAATTCTTCCAGTTTCCTGTGTTTGAATCCCATGAACGAGATCATGGATGTGCACTGCTGATGAGTTCCATGATAGGACGAAATCGCCGTCTAGGTTTTCAATAGTGATCTAATATCAATCAGTTCATGATCTTTACAACGCTATACTTGATAGCTTTAATTGACTCATGAATTCAACTATAAAATCTCCACAAAACCACCACGCCCCCTTTCTGATAATCTCTTAAAAATATTAGCATATTTTTTTCATTTTATTATTATTGTTTAGAGTTGTACTGAAATTTCTATTTCTTGTTTACTTTGTTAAATACTTGAAGAAGAATGCTAATCAACCATATTTATGTTACTTAGAGGTTTTTATGCTGTTATGCCTAAGTTCTTGTAGGAGAACTACCGGTCCCAAGCCTGTGTGAAGGAGGAGGATTAGGTGTGGGGTCGGTAACCGCATCCTATAGAAAACAACGTTGCTAATAAAAAAGCTAACCAGAATAGACAATATAAACTTTGCCCTGAAAGGTGAAGAAAGAATTATGACACTTTATGATGAAAGCGGAGATTCTTTGGAAATCACGAGATCGATGCCCCTTCTAACAATCAGAGCAATAGTTTTTTGTAGGTACATGGAAAGTTTGGACAATGTGGGAGATCGGGAGGACTAGTGAAATAGCAACGGAAATGAGGCGATACAACTTGGCGGTTCTTGGAATCAGCAAAACCCATTTGAACTAAGCTGGACAGAAAAGGTCAGGTACGGGAGAGATACTGCTTAACTCCGGTCACCAAGAGGGAAATGCTCCACACACTCAGGGAGTTGCTCTGATGCTATCTAAAGAAGCACAAAATGCACTTCTAGGATGGGAATCTCATCGATCTAGAATTATTAAAGCATCTTTCAAAACAAAGGAAGGGATTACAATGAATGTTATCCAATGCCATGCAACCACCAATGGTAGCAATGACGGTGATAAAAATAAGGTTTACGAAATCGATCATAGCAAGGTGTTCAGGAGAGGACCTAACCATCGTGATGGGAGATCTAAACGCCAAAGTTGGAATGGGCAGATATCATGGGACGACATGAACTAGAAAGAAAGAAGGATGCTCATTCAACAAATTGGTTATAGACTACAGGATATTTCCACACAAACACATACACAAAGCTACATGGGTCTCACAGTACCACACCACGAAGAACCAGGTAGATCATACTTGCATCAGTAAGAAATTCACAACGTCGATGGGAGACGTGAAGACCAGAAGAGGAGTTGACATGGCTTTGGAGACCACCTGGAGGTTGCTAAGATGAAACTGAAGCTAAAGGGAGCACTTGACAACTGAAGAAGCAGCGTTACATAGGTTCAATACAGCCTTCCTTCGAGATACTGACAAACTCAACGAATTCAAGATAACTCTCAATAACAAGTTTCAAGCCTTACAGGATCTACCGAAAGAAGAAACTACTATGGATGACAACTGGAAAGGTATCAAACAAGCACTAACCTCAACGTGTCATAGGGTTTTGACGATCATAAGGAATGGAGCTCTATCGAATCCCTGGACAAGATTCAAGAAAGGAGAAACAAGAAGACAGCAATTGACAACAGCCGAATAAGAACAGAGAAAGTCAAGGCACGCCAACAAATGCAGACCAATATAAACAGTGTAGCAGCGGCCTCTGCACCAGTAGGCCCCTACGTATACAAGGGAACAAGCGAGATCCTCAAATAAAACACGGAGAATACCAAACCAGTCACTTCATGGAGAAGCTCTGGAAGAGGTGGAATTTTTCACGTATCTGAGTAGCATCATCGATGAACAATAAGCACCTGATGCACACGTAAAGGCCAAGGATTGGCAAAGTAAGGGCCTCATTCCTTTAGTTGAAGAATATGTGAACTGATGCATAAATGTGCCTGGTCCTACTTTGATATGGAACTCAAAACAACTGTCAACCAATTTCAAAGTCACAATTAAGGAAGGAACGAATCGAGCGAAGGAATTTCTTTTCATCATGGCAGAATTTTCAATGCGAACTTCAAGACAGTTCTACAGTACAGAGCTGAAAATTGGAAAACTACTGCAATCATCATCTGAAAGGTACAAGTATTTATAAACAATTGTATACACAAGATACTCAATATCCGTTAACCGGATACCATCGTCCATAGCCTACTATGTAAGAGAGCTAACCAGGTTCCAGTTGAAGAAGAAATTAGGAAAAGGCGTTGGAAGTCGATAGGACAGACACTGACGAAATTATTAAACTGCATCACCAAGCAAAAACTAATTTGGAATCCGTAAGGGAAACTGAGAAGAGGAAGGCCAAAGAATACATTACGTCGGGAAATAGAAGCAGATGTGAAAAACCGAACACACTGCACCGAGAATTCGGAGCAGACATGAGGAGGAAGAATAGCAACTGGAGAGGATTTCTCGGGACAGAGGTGGATGGAGAGTTTTGTTGAGAGACCTATGCTCCTCCATGAGGGATAACAGACGTAAGTAAATAAAAGTATTTCATCGGTGATCAGCTGTGATAAAACAGCATTTATTTTTAGAATTCTCTATAACAGCCATATACATCATACAGTTTCACTGTTATAGCACATTACGTAAATATAGACCTGCTTCGGTTTGGGCACCCGGGCAGTATCACAGCCCTCACACAAATCAATTGAGATTTGTGTGGCGCATATGTATTTTGGTGCCTCCCTGTACCTATACTTATGTGTTAAAATAAAAATAAAATAACGTAAATATAGACTTATCATTCTATATTGATTTATTTGAACACATAGATATTGGTACAAGGGGGCACCAGATACACATACACAACATAAATCTCATTTGATTTGTGTGAGGGCTATGATACTCCCCGGGTGCCCGAACCGAAGCAAGTGCTTTTCTTAGGGGGGCCACACCCCGAGCCTTCAACCTAGAGGTCTAACCCACAAGGCAGTGGAGCATCGTAAGGAGATGCTGTCCCATGGTAACCGGTGACTAACAATTGGTTCATACGCCATTTATCCTGAAGCTAGCCCATGTGCACCAATGGTTTGGAATGAGGGTTTTCCAACTCCCCTAGGTGGACTCTCTGTGTCCACTAACCCGGTTAAAACTCTTGCCGTACATTCGCTTCTGGTCGTCTCAATTTCGTGAAAAATACCCTCGCCACGTGAAGGCAGTGAGTAGGACTTCCCTGGCACAGGTTATATACGTGTGGCCGTGTGAGGGCATTTGAAAAGGGTGAGCGGACTCTCCCCACTCTCGGCTGTACCAGGGCATTCGGGGATTACGAGTTCATCTAATCTGAGAATAGAACGAAGACTCTGTGACATAATGACAAATAAGCTAGCTATTTCGACGTGTCCCAGCCCAGCTAACTATAGAAAGAAGTTCAAATTCAGAAGAGGGAAATATATCCTACAAGTAACCGCGGAAGCACGAACAACCACAACAAGTCTAATTGGAAATAGATTGATTCATATACCCATTTTTGATTAATAATTAGAATGAAATCACATATATGTAAAAAAAAATACTTAGGGTTATAAACAAATCATATGCCACATATCATGTTGAGTATAGTTCAGGTCAATTGAATACAAGAATATCTTATGTTATACAATACAAAATGTCATATTGAGAAATAGAAACAACTACTACATTGGGGGAGTCCGCTCCCCCTCTCGAAATGCTCTCATATAGCCACGCGAATACAGCCCCTGCCAGGGAAGTCCTACTCACTATCTTCACGCACCCCGGGTGTTGTTTACGAAATTGAGTGGACGAAAAGCGAACGCCCGGCGCTACAACCGGATCCCAAACCAATGGTGCACATGGGCTCCAGTATCGTGCGGTAAAAAATGACGTATGAACCAATCGTTGGTCACCGGCTACCATGGGACTGCATCTCCTCACGATGCTCCACTGCCTTGTGGATCAGATTCAGATCAAAGGCTCGGGGTGTGGCCCCCTAAGAAAACCACCTGCTTCAGTTCGGGCACCCAGGCAGCATCACAGCCCTCACACATATCCAATGAGATCTGTGTAGTGCATATGTATTTGGTGCCTTCTTGTACCGATATCTGTGTGTTAAAATAATAATAATAAATAAAATGATCATATTGGATTAAAAAGAAATACCCATCATGGGTAAATCTATCTCATTTTTGACTTTTCATTTCATCTTATCATATTCATGTTTACTTTCAATAATCGAAGTAAAAATGTTCTATATATCTCGATTTGCCAGTTGAAGTTAATCATTTACATCAATGTGTCATTACAAACGGTTAGGTTAAGCTTTTCCTTTTATTTCTCTAGTCTATAGCTTTTGTGTGACTAATCAACTATTTATCTTGTTTTCAAATCATAATCCCGGTGTACTAAATTTATACTATAATTCCGATATTTTTTGAAACATGACCTTAATAATCGTGTATTCTGATCTAATTACTCATTTATTTGTGAATACAAGTGTAGAGAATGTTTCTACAGTTATTCTTATTTATTGAACACTACGTGTAGGTGACTAGCATAATTCTTTACCTTTAGGATTATGCTAAAGGGTCTAATGCATCAACGTTATTAGTTTGTTTCGAGACAAGTTTCATCGCATACCTAGCTACGAGACCGGTAGAGATTAAAATTAGAGCCATTGAGAGTGATCCTATAGTTGTGATTGCGATTAAGGTACCGCTATATTTCTTGAGTACATCGAGTTGCACCTGACCCTCAATTACTTTGGAGAGGACTAACAATGGCTGGATTTGTTCATGTTACTAATTTAGAAAATCGATAGACAAAGTTTTCGAACTTAAGGCCAGAGCTGGAAAATAAATGCCCAAAAACCCACTTGATACGACCTGAAACTGATCACAATCTGCTGTTTCATGCTAAGCTTATCCGGAACTAGATAGTGTATTCCGTTGAATAACTAGTATATAGGGATTTGAGCTAATATCAAGATTTCGATCTTCACATGCTAAGTTGCTAGGCACTTCTAATTGTAGTACTATTGATTTTTGAAACAAGGGCACCAATTAGAACAGAATAAAACGAACAGTCGAATGATTACGCTTTCATAAATATTTAGGTAACTTTTCTTAATAGTATGCTTACTGTTGTTACTTATCGTTAAAGGAATACCATAGAACCCCCAAATGACCATCGCAATAACGTTTTAAATGTATAAAGAGATTAAGAGCAAAATAAACTCTAATTACATTAGCGCAACTGTCATATTGATTTTAAGCCAAATAATTCGGACTACATACTATTTCTGGAAAGATGATGAGTTAGACTGTAAGATATTTCTATTAATATTTTATTTCACAATGCAAAGGTGTAAACTCATCAGACATCTTGTGTCATGAGATAACGCAATGACGTTTGAAGCGAATGATGCTGGATTCGAGTCCCAGAGTGAACATCAATTCGGAAGATGCAGGTACATCATCCATCTGACGAGTCACAAACAAGACGAAACACGCGTCAAATTGGATTCCACTACTAGCCATCTTTACTTAGAATGCTTGTAAACCAAGGTAATACGCACAGTATGCACATATACCAATACGTGACCGATCAATTACAGTCTCAAAACATCAATTGAGAAGATCCAAGTAACAAAAATAGCCAAATGAATTAAAAATTACTAGTTTAAATGTGGATGAAATTTTCTAGCTGATTAATCAAATGTTAACCGCCAATTTAATACATTCAAATGTATTTATCAACATTTAAAGAGATAAACAAAATTGCACATGCTAAAATTACTTTGATTAGTTGTGAATCGATGTTTGTTACATCAAGAAATCACCTATGTTCTTTGTATCAGACCATATTAAGCCTATTTGATCATAGTAGTAGGCAGAGACTTTCCCTTGGTCAAACCAACAGCACGAACATCGATTAAACAAAACACTACATTACTTTATGGAGAAATATATATTCAAAGTCAACGGTAGGTTGTGGATCAAAAATGGAATACTGCGGATACCAATTTCCTATGCGCCATATACCTTAAACATCAGTACATGGGAAGATTAGGCACTCACAACGACTTTTTCAGACAATTTAAATCCTAATACATTTAACTTTAGAATACATAAATTATTTAGTATAAACCATTAAATTATACAAAATATAATTCATTGTAGCTGGAAAACTGTTTAGAATAGTCTGTTGATACAAAAATTTATTGACTCTCGCCATGTAAGGTTTCTTTGTCGAATGTGTATTCTCCAAGACCAGTGCCCACACGATTAAGATTAGTAATGTATTCGGAAAGCTTTTTAATAGATTGTACCTGGATTTCCAAATATTCATCTAGAAAATATCAGAAACAATATTATGTGGATAATTGAGTGAAAATGTAATTGAAAAAATAAAGAATCTAATAGTTTTAAGACATAACTTATGGAATATTGGCAACAACCTATTAAGTCACCGACAACTCTAGTGAGCTACGATAACTAGTATACTATAGGTTCTAATGAAATCTACGGGTAACACAAAGAAGTCAAATAACTTATTCCCGGCTTTTCATCGACATTTCTTTTGGCAATAGCTCTAGACTTTACTAAACAGTAGCGTAGCATATAGTATGCGCATTGACTGTAAAGTGAGCACAATACACTACCACGATGAGAAGTATTAGTAAGACCCTATAACTTATGCAAAAGATTACTCTAGAGCAGTTTGATTTTACTTCACAATTGCTGGACTTTTGGCGTTGACGAGGTGACATTACAGGCTATTATAGGTTTCCGCTCAATTACCCTCTGACGGTCATACGATGGGAAATCAGTTGGGAGTAGTATTAAAGACTTGAGGCGTGGCTATGTTGTAAACGAAACGACGAATTGAGTCCAATTACATTTAAATCCTATTTGACTAGTCTAAGATTAATTCGTCAACACTTAGTTTTACGGTGGTAACCTCACGAAAAAAAATGGAGCTACATGTCATCGTTTCAAAATAACTGGTTAACAGCATAACTTCAGCAAACAGGAATTGAAAATCAAATTGATTATGTGCTCAAAACGGGTCAAGAAAAGCATCTAGCTATCACTAGTGACTTACAATCGGACTCGCCAGTAAACCCCACCATAGGATACCTGACAATGAACTTACTTGTGATAAAATCACAAAAATGCGAATCCCTGTGTCTTTCACCAACAGCCAGTAAATCCATCAGATTCTGATTGACCTTCTTTTCTAAATCAAGGGCATCCTGCATAGCATGAAGCCCCGAAGTCCATGAAAGTTGAGGAGGCGCCGATATATCTTGCAACACAATCCGACCACCTCGCATGTTTTGATAAGTCATTAACTATACGAGATTAATATGATAATTGTTAAACTACCTTTATAGCATGTTGTCGCTCCTCTTCTGACTCTTTCAAGAAAAATTTATAAAAACCGTTCAGGGCAACGTCATCACGATTAAAATGAAAAGCCATGGTCATATAAACATAGCTCGCATATAGCTCCATGTTAATCTGCTTATTAACACCAGCTTCACACTCTTCATGATAGTTCTGTCTGCACAAAGACATCCGCGTGCGTTCACTAAAATCGCGAGTTTAAGGATGGCGGAATTTAATCATGATGTGACGTGAGACAGTTAAACAAGACAATAGTTGATTCACAATTTATGATACAGAAAATGAAAACAAAACTACGACTATATTCTTTATTCTGGTTCATCCATCTTGACTTTGACAGTTCTCTTGAAAAACTGTCTCACCCAGTTTAAAAAAAACACCTGAGTATGTGGCCTGTGTTATAGTTGACAATGGTGACCTCTCAAATTTCTTTTAAAAGTGTCAACAGGTGAAGCTTCAATCACAAGTTGATGTAATGAATGCCGTTCTTTGATTATTCGGTTAGAAAGTCGGTAGTCAGCTGAGAAGTACTTTATCCTCGGCTTGTGGACTATTTTAGTGTCCTCGTAAATTCTCTGCTTTGGAAGACAAGAAGGAGCAAGGCATACCAGATGCAAATTCATCACCAAGGAGTTTAGGATGAACGAATTCTGTATGTAAAATCGGAAGAGTTTTGGCGTCGACATGGCTAAAGGCCCTACGTATTGACTATAGGGTTCCAAAACCTTTAGCAGCTCTCTCATGGCACTGTTCAGTAGTCTTTAAGTCTTGGCTAACGATGACTCGTGGATCATTGTGTTTCAGGACAGCAGGTAGCTCACTGTCATTCACCGTGTATGTACCTGTGCTTTACTTTTTATCTCTCCTCACATCCTGACATCGTCAGCATGCAAAAAAACTGATGACAAGAGACTAGGAGGGACACTTCCATACAGTAGGAACAACACTGATGCCAAAACTGAACCATGTGGCACACTGCTAAGCACATTCACCCACCTAGACGACGTTAAGTTCACCAGTTCACTTTATTAAAGCCCAACGAGGAAGTTCTTTATCCACACAAATATACTACCTACAATCCCGATGTTACTCAACTTAGATAACAACCGGTTATGACGAACTTTGTCAAAAGCCTTGCTGAAATTAATGTAGCCCACATCTTTGAGTAACTTTTGATATCTAGGAGCGGACCAAATTTCACGGTCTACCAACCTGTTTTAAAGCCATGCTGCTTTTCGTCTAACTACCTAAACAACTTCCTAATAATTCTTTATAAAACCTTAACAAACACAGTGGCTAAGCTATAACACGCTCAGTTAGCAGACCAAAGACATTGAGTTATTTAACGGTCATAGAGTCCAGTGTGTGTGTTCAGGAAGAGACTGATATATACTGAAGGAAATGGTGTCTCTATGGTATATATATATATATATATATTGCTGAAGTAGTTCGAGAATACCACTAATGACGCGATACTGCAGTTTCTACATAGTGCTGTAATATTTCCTCTCCTCTTAGCTCTTTGGTTTGTGAACGAGTATGTTCGTTCATGGTATTCTATGGATTCTTTAGCAAGTTTTTCTTCATGCAGTCTTGAAGACTAGCGGAAGTTCATAACCTATGTAGTTTTGGCTTCCTTACTTCAACCTTTTACTTCCTCAGTTCCCGGTAATTTAAATATCCTCAACATTTCTTTCTCTTGTCAAGAAGGGTGCAAAACTCCTAATCGAAACACGGTGGAGAATTTTACGAATTCGTTCGTGTTACTTTATAAATGAGCTTTACAGTAACTTGTATGCAAATTTTTCAACACACCATAAGCCGTTTCAGTTGGGACTCTGACTAATTTAACCAACTTTCTGGGGATGCTGAGTGCTTAGTGTTTTGTATATTTACAGTCCAGATGTTTCGTCTGGGCCGAGATGATACGTGATCGTTATTGCAATTATTTGCAAACAAGGTTTAATACTGCATGAGCAGTTTTACCTGTGTAATGGAAAGGAAACGCCGAAAATACCTCCACAGCATTTCATCGGACAGTATTGCCATTTTTCTCCAAGTCTTGTATCTTCGGTTTCAGCTTCAGTTTGGAAAGGACGAGACTCTTTATGGCCTGTGTTAGTACTGGCAATGGTGGTTTCAGCCAATCCGACTTTCATTTGAAAGAGTCGACGTATGGAACCTCAACCTCGAGCTGAGGTAATGAGTTCCACTTGTTGATGATTCGATGAGAAAGTCTATGGTCAACTGACAAATAATTTGTCCCGGGTTTGTGAACTTTTATGGAGTGTCCTCGTACATTCGCTGTTTTGGGAGACAAGAAAAATGAGGACATATCATGTGCAAGTTTATCACTAAGCAATTTGAATCTTTTAATCAAAACGCATCTAGTTCTAGGATATGACAGACGGAATAGGTTTAACTTGGCCAGTCGAGCATCATACGGAAGCTTCGCTATTCCGAAAATCAGCTTAGTTGATGTTCTCTGGACCTTTTTCAAAATCTCACTGTCTTTTTTTAGGCTGGGACTAGCCGCTTGTATTCAGTACTGAAGTTTGGAACGTACGAACACTGTATACAAAGTCAAAAACGTTTTAGCGTCGACATGACTAAATGCCCTACGTATTGACCATAGGGTTCCGAAACCTTTGGGGCTATTTCGTGACAGTGTGCAGTAGCCTTTCAGTTTTGGCTAACGACGAATTACAAGTCATTGTGTGTCAGGTCTATTTTTAACCACATATAATGCTACTCAGTCTTCTTTATCGGGGCATTCATTGTTTGATGTTGGTTGAAGATTAACCTATTATTAGTTTAATTCCTGTTGCATGCTGCCAGATTATTGACAATTAGGACGTGTTTGACGTAGCACGTTATGACTATTAACCTTTGATTATCAGCTTAGAAAAGTTATTGGAATTTTTTTCAGATAGATATCTTTTGAGTATATTCTTAGTGATTCCAAAGTGTCGAGCTCTTATTTATTAATTATTTCTCTTGATGTTTTGCACGTTAGTTTGTGTTAGAGAAAGCTATGACTGTTTAGCGTAAGCTACAATGTTTTAAATATTTTGTACTTTTGCAGCAATTTGTTTTCTCTTTTAATCAAAGCCGTTTAATTTGAGCACAGAGTTTGTTGTTTGATGTAATTTAAACATTGTTTCATCGGTCCTGTGTTCAAAGCGAATATTGATATTTCAGTCATTAAAACTGAGTGAGAGATATAATCGTGGCTTGTGACATCATACTCACAAGGCTTCAATATCAGATTCAGTAATATTATTTGGACTCCATGTCGCACCTAGTTGCTTTTTTCATACGCTTCTTTAGGATATTTGTGATAGCCATATCAACTAGTGTCTGTTTAAAAGATTTTTCTGTCATTTCAGTCACCATATTTCTCCAGTCCAACATGGATGCATAAAGGTCTCCTAAAACTAAACATTGACCACCTGGTGACCAAATGTTGAGATCGTCTACCATGACGTCATTCACTTCACTGTTTAGACAGTGGTAGACCGAATCGGTCAGCAGTTCATGTCCTTTGCATTTCAATCGGCAACTAATTAATTTACAGGTCTCACTTTCATGGGATATGCTATCAACAAACGCAAATGAGATAGTATTTCTAATAAGTAGAGCTACTACTCTTTGACGCTTCTGTATTCTCTCAGCACTTACCAATGGGAAATCCTCAAAATTAAGTCCACTACTTTCTAAAAACTTCAAAGATTCTGTGACTGTGACTACATTTAGCTTGATTAAGTCCACCTGTAAACCTGGCTTTGATAGCTTATTAGGAAGCCTCTGTGTAGTTAGATAACAGATCCAAAGATCCTCTAAACGGCTTCGGCATCACTCTCTGTAGAACCCTAACCAGAAAGCCTCATCAGAAAGATTATAAACCCAAGGTCTTTGACTGTAGAGTCTAACCTTAATTGTAGATCCTTTCAATTTTTCACCATTTTTATGCTGTGAGCGGGAGACAAGTCTTTCGGGACAAAAATCCCTGATATATTCCGTTTATGTTCATTCCACAATGTTAGATCCCTTTTAATGAGATATTTGTATACCACATTAAGCAGTCGGTTTAATTTTGTTTCGAGACCCTGTTGTCTACCTGATGCACAAATCTACGATAGGGCGATCCCAGAAGTACATTGAGGAATTACCAGGCTAAGCGGAAATTTTGTTAGCTTAATGTATTGTTTAATGCGGGTCCTGAAGACTCACATTCACTTTACGAAAGAAAACTGACGTATCATTATGACCGTGTGAGGATGGAAAACGATGAAATCGAGGAAGCTGTGAAAGGCTCAGAAAGAGCCGAGGATGTTCTATCCAATCACCTCTCGGAAGAATATTCCAGAATTCCTACGTGTAGCTTCCCAATTGAACAATGCTAATAACCTCCTGTATGCGGATTGGAGGACTGTAATGATGATTTCGTTCTTACTAAAAACTATAAATATACTATAATCGACACTGTTTGGGATAATATTCCTTTCATTAGTCTTCTGTTCTCGCCTTGCGACTTGGAAGGGTTCTGGTGTTCCAGTGCTCAGTTATACGCGGTATATCAAGTAAACAACATTCCACATATAACAACTGGTGACGGGGTTATCGTACCAAGATGTCATTTACCTTTGAACGAATTGAAGCCTTGCTGGAACGTCAAGAAAAACGTTGTGAACAGTTCCAGATGTGCATGATAAAGATGCTAACCCAGAAAATGAACCTGAATCAAAAAGAAATTACAGATGATCCCTTCAAATCTTATGTCGACCACATTATTAATTCTATCCATGAATTGAATTTCGATGGTTAGGCTGGCATTAATTTTGAAACCTGGTCCAAGTTTGGCCTCAGAAAGCGTGACGACCCGCCAACGTCAGAATACTCTTAAGAAAACTTGGCACGGTTGAACATGAACGTTACAGTAACTTTATCCTTCCAAGGAACACCCATGAGATTTTTCTTTTCATGTAGCAAATCTTTGCTGAACAGTCATCCTTGTATAATATTCGTTATCAATGTCTCAAGATAACAAAAGCAGGTGATGATGACTGGGTGAAGCATGTGGGTCTACTAAACCATGAGTGTGAGCGGTTCAAACTATCAGCAATGACAGAAGATCAGCTTAAGTGTTTCGTATTTGTGTGCAGCCTCCAATCTCCCGAAGTTGCCGAAATTAGAACCAGAATTTTGAGTAAAATTGAACAATGCCCTAATATAGCACCACAGGAAGTAACCACGGAGTGTCAGATATTGGCAAACTTGACACACGACACTT